CTATAAATCACAGTCATTCACTCACTTTACTGTCGGTTCCTACTGTTCGCTTGACTCAATTATCTATATCTTCAATCTCTCTGCATATCTCTGACGTTGCGCTGGTTTTTCTCACCAGGCTTATATACTAAAAAAAGAGGGCACCTGGCAAACACTAGAACATTTGCGGAGTTTCTTGATAATTCATGATCCTTCTTGAAACTCCAACATGCATGCTCCCAGCGTCGCGTGACTTCCGCTGTCATAACAATATCATGTGATTGTTAGCATGCACTTGTTGCTGTGAAAGTAAATAAACATACACTGGGGTCTCAGTTATCCATTATGGTCTGGGGAAATAAAAAAAAATCACAGATAATGAAGGTATTATTGTATCTCACTAGTTAGCCCATTGTTTAATCTAAATAAAATTTATAAATATTTTTAAGTTCCTTGTTTTAAATTATTATCTTTTAACTGTTGATTAATCACATTATCATGAAAAATTATAAAAGTTGTCACAATCATAATCATAAAAGCCAAGTGTCAGTCAGTCAGTCGGTCACGCTCAATTACTCCAAATTCTATGAGTTAAACGAGTCCAATTCCACTTTTTCTCTAATAATACTTCCTGTTTTGATTGCCTGTTCCAATTTTAGATTAATTTAATTGTAAAAACCTCCTAAATTTTGCACTTTTTCTGCTATATAGACACAGAAGTGCATTTGCATCCTATCAACGCCTGTGAAAAATAAGTCAAAAATAGTGCAAATATCTATGCTTGATAATTATTATGAAAAAGCCTTTGTTAAAACAGACTGAAGATACTAATTATCTGTAGGGACAAAGCCAATGCAAAACTGGCCGATACCCCAACACAATCTGAACACACATCTGTGGTTAAAGGATGCCCATCATGCAGCACAGAACAGCAGACAACAACTGAAGTTGAGTGAAATCTTTAAGAAATCTTAATGCATATTTTTGTATTCTATGTTTTTAATCACTAATCAAATAAAATTAACCAAGCTACAAATATTTTGTATTCCTGTCTTAACAGCTATAAACAAAAGAGCCAAGGCTAGGCTTGAAATGGCTGACTTACAATTGGAACGCACACCAGATTTTGGCAGAAAATGGAAGCACCAGTTTTCAGTAGAGAGGAAGGGTGGGAAGTGTGAGAGGTGGTAAGTACCTATTGGAAATATATTTTCAGTAAAGGAAAATTATAACTTCGGATATGGTAATTTACCTCCACTCACATAATTAGCTAGAATCCCACATTGAATAGGTGGAGGAACAAGTGCGAGGGAAGAAAAGATGCATCCTTCATAAGCATCCAAAGAACATACCTTGAGACTAGAGAGTCAGATTCAAAGATCTGATGTGGGAGACTGCACTACTTCTGAACCAGGCATACTCTTCACCCATCTGAGAAA